CATATTGTGTATTAATGGTCGGTTGTTATTTGCTATTTTTGGTTCTCTGTTCAAAGGACTCCCTTTAGCATCTCTTCTAAGGTTGGTCTGGTTTTAACAAATTCCCTTAGTTTCTGCTTATCTGGAAATCTCCCAATTTCACCATCACATTTGAGGGACAATTTTGCCAGGTGTATAATTCTTGGTTGAAAATTTTTCTCTTTCTGGGTTTTATATATACCATCCCATTGCCTTCTTGCTTGGATGGTTTCTGCTGAGAAATCAGAGCCTATTCTCACTGGCTGTCCTTTGTAAGTAACTTTTTGTTTTTCCCGTGCTGCTTTCAGGATTTTCTTTGTCTTTGGTTTTGGTGAGTTTGATGATGATATGTCTTGGTGATTTTCTTTTTGGGTCTATCCTGTTTGGGGTTCATTGGACTTCCTGAACAGATATCTTCTCATCTTTCATCATATCAGGGAAGTTCTCCTCCAACAGATCTTGGCCAATTTTCTCAGTGGTTTTATTTTTTTCTTCCTGTTCTGGAATTCCAATGACACATAGGTTATTCCTTTTGATGGTATCCCACATGAAACTTAGCCTTTCTTCATTTTGTTTTGACCTTTTTTTCTCACTGATCCCTTTCCAAACAAGTAGTCAGGTATTTATCTTCAATCTCATTAATTGTGTCTCCCATTGCATCAATTCTACTCCTTTGTCATTTCAATGTGTTATCTATTTCAGACAATTTAAATAGATTTAAACTTCTGTCTGTAGATTTAGAATCATTTCTAATTTTTCATTTATTTTCTCATTTTATTCTTGCAACTTCTTCCAAAATTCATTTAGGGTTTTGTCTGTATTTTCCTTGGTCTGTCTCTCAATCCTTTGAAGATACCTAAATATAATTGTTTTAAATTCCTCATCAGAGAGTTCCAATGCTGCTTCTTCCTCAGGGATGTATTCTGGGTCTTTATCTTACTCCCTTGTTTCTACTACTTTATCTTCTTCTTTGTGTGGACTGTGATGGTCTGTTTTTTCTGAGACATTGTGGCGTTATTGTATTTAGATCTCTGTTAACTGTTTGTGAAGAGCAGCCAAGGGTGAGTCAGGCTCTTCTTGGTGGTTGTTTATCGCTGGCCCATTGGTAGAGAAGGAAGTAATGGCTCTCACTGAGTAAGTGAATCTGCAGAAGGTGTGGGTGTAGTTGTGTTATATGGGGACTGTTGCTGTCTTCCTCTCAGTTAGACAAAAATAATAAGTGAATAACCATCAAAAAACTAAAAGCAAATGGACAAAAAGTATACCATGTAATCACACAGGAACAGTAACTGAAAAAAGAAAACAGGGAAAAAGAAGAAAAAGAAAAAGAAAAAAAAAACCCTAAGATATCTTAGGAGAGGGCTGTAAGAGAAAAAAGGTAGAGAAGGAGAATAATGAAGAAAAAATGGGAAAAACGCAAAAACAAAAACAAGGAATGTAGTTAACCATGAGAAAGAAAAAAAAAAAAAAAATGCAACCAGGAAGAGGGAAAAGAAAAAAAGCTGAAAATAGAACCTGGGAGGGGGAGAATAAAGAATAATAGTAAAAAGGACAAAAGTAATAATAATAGTAATAGTAGTTTTAAAACAGACAAAAACAAACAAACAAAGAAAGAGAAAAAAAACATCAGGGCAGGGTGGGCCAGGGTACCCAGGCTCCTTCCGAGCACACAGACTGCAATGGAATTCCTGCTGGGTGGGGAGTGAAGGATGGCTGTTCGTGCGTTCACTAGGAGGGTTGGGGTTTAAGAGTAACAAAGGGAATGTCGCACCTTTCCAGTAGTCCGGGTCTGGAATGTCCTTGGGGTTTCTGGCAAGTGGAGCCTATTCTTAAGTCCCTGGAATCTGGAAGAATGCTGTAGCTTTAAATATCCAAAATGGTCAAGCCGCTCATAAACATTCAAAATGGCTGTGCCCTCCAGACAGACAAAAGTCCACAGCTCAGCCCACCTTCCTCTTGGCTGCTTTCCCCTTTATTTCCCAGCCACCAGAACAGTCCTCCGTACAGTCCCTAGGTAGCAGGGCCAATTTTTAGGTTAATTGTTAGGTCCTACCACCACTCAGCAATATCCAAGCTGTCCAAGCTGTCTGTGCCGTCAGGATTGCTGCCAGACCACAGCTCCGTATGTTTCCTTTTTTGGTGTTTTCATGCAAATTCTCCTGCTAGTTGGAGTTTGGTCCACTTCTATATCCTTTCCTTCAAGACTCAAGGGGCCAGGATTATCTTCTGTATCTGTGTTAATTGGTTCCCCTTTTCTTTGTTGAAGAGGGTCTGTCCCATCTTTCTGCCTATTCCGCCATCTTCACTTATTTTAATTTTTAACAACGTATTATACTAGCAGCCAACAGTGGTTTACTATTGCCCAATCTTCCTTCCGAGGAGTAGTAGCTGGTGGGTTTGAACCACCAGCCTTCTGGTTAGCAGTCAAATGCCTTTCGCACTATGCCATCAGAGCTCCCAAATGTATATATAGTTGTTAAATTATAAATTTAATAAATTTTCTCTTATTTATTTATAATACCTTGTACCAAAATGTCTTTAAAATACCTCTTCTCACAAATTAGAAAAAGTAGGGATTTTTTTTTAATGATTAAGTAATAAGTATTTAAAAAAGTAATAATACTTGGAAAAAATATAGACAGATACACTTCTTTTCCAAAATACAATGAATTTCACTTACTTATTTTTAGGAAGAAAATAAAAAATGATTCATACCTGAGCATTAGAGTTGGTAAGTGTCTCAGTTCCAACAAGTGATAATTTATTCTGACACTTAATTTAAAAAGGAAAGAAAAACAAGTCACACACTAAAAGCTACAGACAATTCCTCTCCCCTTTTATACCAGTTAATACAATAAAAACTCATTGCCATCGAGTTGATTCCGACTCATAGTTACACTATAGGACAGAATAGACTTGTTTCATAGAGTTTCTGGCCCTGTAAATCTTTGCAGAAGAAGACTGCCACATCTTTAAAAGCCCAGTACTTAACCACTATGCCACCAAAGTTCTCTGATGTAAGAGAAGAGTCTGCTTCAATTCCTCATTTTCTAAGCAAGAAGGCAGACAAAGAGGTCCGAAGATGAATACATCAAAAAATAAATAAATGAAAAGGTAGCACAGAGCAAAGTGAAGATAAAGAAATAAGGAAAAAGAACAAAAATTAGATAATGCAAAAACAGGAGGCAAGAAAATAAGAGGGAAAAGACCATAATAGAAAAGTAACAAGCAACAAAACAGTTAATATTAGAAGAAAATAAGCATTGTTTCTATGCCATTACAAAAAATCCAAAGGGTTAATAGTGATTATATGTGAAAGGTAAAAATATGGGTAACTTATATTTTATTTGTGTTTATTGCAAAAATTTTATTTTTAAATCTAAATGTCTAAATTGAAAAAATACCAAAAGCAAAAAAAGGGATTATGTAAATCATTTGAAAATACATTAATGATACAGAACACCAAGGATTTATGTGAAAATTATTTTAAAAAAGAGAGAAGGAAAAAGAAAACTCACTACCCCACTCTTAGGATCTCTCGTGGCATAGTGCCTAAGGCATTTGACCGCTCACCGGAAGGCTCGCAGTTCAAACCCTCCAACCACTCCTCAGAAGGAAGATTGGGCAATCTACTTCCGTAGAGATACCTACTGCCCCAGAAACCCCCAAGGCGGGGTCGCTATGAGTCAGATCCAACTCAATTGCAGTGAGTTTTGATCTGAAACTTACTGGAAAGAAAAGGATGCTAAAAATGGATTTGGACTACATCATACATTATACTATTTTATGTATAACAAATTTTCACTAACATATTGTAGTGTATCAAAAGTAGTTCTGTCTCACTAACTCAGAAAGTATACTTTAAACTCAGTATCATCTAAACTAATCCATGCTTTCTTCAAAGTTGTAACTATGTGTTCTTCTTTACTTCTATATTCTCTATCTTTGAGAATAACCCCAGCAATCTCCCAATGTCCCAAACCAAGAACTTAAAATAATCCATGATAATTCTCTCCAATTTTATATCCAATTAACCTCCGATAATCTTGGTCATACTTTCTTAGTATCTCTTGAATCCAGTCTTCTTTCTACTTGTAATGACTGCATTTAGACCTTCATTATTTCTTACTAGAGCTATTTCTACAACCAAATCCATTGCTGTAAAGTCAATTCTGACTCACAGAGAGAGACCCTATAGGACAGAGTAGAAGTGCCCCATAGGATTTTCAAGGCTACAAATCTTTACAGAAGAAAACTCCCTCATCTTTCTCCAGGAGAGTAGTTGTTGGGTTCAAACCACAGACCTTTCAGATTGCAGTTAAAACACTTAACCACTGTGCCACCAGATCTCCTGAGGACTACTACTAAAAGTAGAAAGAGCATTTAAGACTACTACAGTTTTCTAAATGTTCTTTCTACTTTTAGTCTCACTCTTCCGCATTCCACTTTCTTCAGTCACTAGATTACTCTTCACAAACTGCCTATCTAATCATGTCACTTCCATGCTTATAATTTTAACAGTTCCCCATAGTATACACTCAGCAAAACACTTCATGTTCTTGCCTTTGATTATTTCTCCAGTCTCACCCCACAAGTCCTCCTTCTCCTCATTTACAATGGCCATAAAACCATACAAAAAAAAAAAAAAAAAGCTGCCATTGTGTCAACTACTTAGAGTTCTCTAATCTCAACCTTTACACATCTTGTTCTTTGCGCTTTGTATATCACCACTACTTACTCAGGCTAACTTCTATCCATACTTTATAAATGAATTCAGTTATTAGCTCTTTTAGAAAGCTATCCACAATCTATTCAGTCTAGGTTTGATAGCCCTCCTAAGTACAGTCTTTTCACCTCTACCACAATACTTCTAGTACTATAACATAATATAATGTCTCTGGTGGCGTAGTGCATAAGGCATCTGACTGCTAAGCAGAAGGCTGGCGGTTCAAACTCACCAGCCACTCCTCAGAAAGAAGATTGGGCAATCTCCTTCTGTAGAGATACTGACTCAGAAACCCAAGGAGTGGTCACTATGTGTCGAATTGACTCACTGGGAGTGAGTTTTTTTGTTTGTTTGTTTTGGTATTGTCTCTATAAGATGTAATTTCCTTGGGCACACAGACTGACATAATTATTTTTTTTCTATTTCTCACCTAGTATAGGTCTAAAGATTAATAAATATTTATCATATAATTGCTCCCAAGAACCAGTAAAATTCTTTCTTTCCTACATCTAACTTTTATTGAAATTGATTTAAATCTTATATGAATTGACATATTACTTTTATCTCATGATACTTACTTCTTCCATATCTTTCCATATTTCTTCACATTCTTTAATAAGTTCTTTTTCAGTGTCTGTAACATCATCCACATTTACAGTATTACCCGGATCTAGATCTTGCTGATTCGTTGACATATGCTTTATGATCTTCTTACCCTTTTGACAAGAAAAACCAAAGGAAAAAACATTTATTCATTCAATATTTGTGAAATCCTATTACCTGTCAGATATTTATCCAGTAACTAGAGATATAGCAGTGGACAAAATAGAGCGGGGGATAAAAAACCCTACTTGAGACCTTAAATTCTAGTTAAGGGAGACAGATACTAAAACTAAATGAATAAATAAATACATTGTAGCACATCCAATGATTTATAAGACCTATGGAAAAAAGCACAGCAGACAAGAAACATGGAGTGTACGAGCAGGGGCAATATAAATAAGTTAGTTATATAAGGTCACTGAGAAGTTGCCAATTGAGCAAAGGCATAAAAGATGTAAGGAAATGAGCCATGGGATACCTAGTGGAAGAGGCTCCAGGCTGAAGGAACTGCAAGTGCAAAGGCCTTGAGATTGTCATGTTTCTAGAGTAATAATGAGGTCAATATGACTACAGAAGAGTAAGTAAGACAGAGGTAGGCAATGAGATCAGTAAGACATAGGGGTGGGATTATATGGGCTTTGCAGGTCATGTTAAGGATTTGAGCTTTTACTCGGAGTGAGATGATAAGTTATTAGAATTTTGAACAGAGCAATAATATGATTTAAATTGTTTTAACAGGTAGTAATGGTAGAAGCAAGGAAACTAGTCAGAAAGCTATTACAATGATCTGAGTGTATGGAGTTGAATAGTTCTCCAAAAATTCATGTCTACCTGGGACCTCAGAATGTGACCTTACTTGGAAAAAGAGTGTTTGTAGATATAATTAATTAAAACAAAGTAAATTTTATTAGAGTGAGCCCTAATCCAAGATGTCCTTATAGGAGAAAACAGAGACACAGACATATATACAGGGAGAAAATCATGAAGATGGAGGCAGAGACTGGAGTGATGCAGATGCAAGACATGGAATGCCAAGGACTGCCAGCAGCCACCAGTACCTAAGAGAGAGGCATACTGTTGTTGTTGTTTGCCGTCGAGTCGGCCATAGAACAAATTATTCCCTCAGAGCCTCCAGAAGGAACCAACGTCACTGACATCTTGATTTTAGACTTCTGGCCTTCAGAAGTATGAAATAAATTTCTATTGTATTAAGTCACTCAAGCTATTAATTTGTTAACTCAGGCCTAAAAAAATAAATACATTAAGCAAGATGTAAACTAGGATAATATTGATAGAGGTGGTACAAATAGCCAATTCTGGATATGTTTCCAAGAGAGAGCCAACAGGATTTGCTAACAGCCTATACATAGTGTCAAAGAAACTGAGTCAAAAAAGTTTGGGTCTGAGCAATTGGAAAGATGGAGTTGCCAGTTATCTATCACCAGATTCCTTAAGAATTCAGTTTAGGACATGCTAAATTTTGTATGCCTATTACTAGAGCTTGGAATACTGGTGGTATATTAGTTAAGTGCTCAGCTGCTAACCAAAAGTTCACCAGTTTAAATCCACCAGCTGCTCTGCAGGAGAAAGATATGGCAGTCTGCTTCTACAGAGATTTATAGCCTTGGAAACTGCATGGGGGCAATTCTGTTCTTCCTATAGGGTCAGTGTGAGTTGGAATCAACACAATGGCAACGGATTTTGGTTTTTTATTAGTAGAGTTACTGATTAGGCAATTTGTATATCCATGTCTGGAGTGCATGGGACAATTTCAAGCTAAAGATATAAATTCGACAGTCATGACCATACAGACAATATTTAAAGTCATGAGACTGGGTTAGATTAGAAAAAGGAGAGCATACAGATAAAAATGAGAAGTGTTCCAGATCTACAGAGGTTGAGGAGATAAGGAAGACCCAGCTAAATAAACTGATAAGGAGCCCCTAGTGAGGCAAGGAAGCTCTGGTAGCGTAGTGCCTAAAGCACCTGACTGCTAACCAGAAGGCTGGCGGTTCAAACTCACCAGCCACTCCTCAGAAGGAAGATGGGGTAATCTACTTCTGTAGTGATACTGTCTCAGAAACCCAAGGAGGGGTCGCTATGAGGTGGGTCCGACTCGATGGCACATAACAACAGTGAGGCAAGAGGAAAATCAAAAGTATAATAACTTGAAATCCAAGAAAAGAAAGGATCAACTGTGTGAAATACTAGAAATATGTCAAGTAAGACATAAACAGAGAATTGACAATTACTTTAGCAATATGGATGAGGCAGACTCTAGTTTCCAAAAATAGTCACAGTAGTATTTCAAGTTGTCACTCCCATAGAGAGTCAGAGTCTATTTCCACTTTCCTTGAATGTGGGTGTGATTGTGACTGTCTTTTTTAATAGAATACAATGAAAGTGATGCCACATGGCTTCCTAGACTATGCCATAAAAGGCAATACAGCTTACATCTGGCTCTGTTTAAATTCAGCCACCATGCTGTGAGGAAGCCCAAACTAGCCCAAAATGAAGAGACCACATGGAGAAGCCCATATGGAAAGGAAATGAGGTTCCCAGACAAAAGCTAGCATCAATTGCCAGATATGAACAAAACAAGTTTTCTGATGACTCAGCCCTAAGGCTTTGACTCTTCTAGTCAAGGGCCAGACACTACAGAACACAGACCACCTACCTCTGCTGTGCCCTGTTGAAATTCCTGAAGAAAAGAATCCATGCACATACTAAATGGCTGTTTTACACCATCAGGTTTTGGGGTAATTTGTCACAATAATTTCTGAGGAGTAAACAAGCAGGCTTTTGTTAACCTTTAACAACTTAGTTTCAGTAAAATAGAAAGAGTGAAAGCCCAACTGGAGTGGGTTTCAAGAGAGAAAAGATGAAGAATTGGAGATATCCACTATGTAAAACTTTTCAAGAATTTCTTCTATAAAGGAAAAGAGAGAAATAAGATAGTAGCTAGAAGGAAATGTGGGATGAAGAGAATGATTTTGTTTAAGAAGTGAGAAAATACAGCATTTCATATTTATATGATAAGTATTACTGATGTAGAAGAGGAAGAGAAGGAAGAATGGGATCTACTATACAAATTGAGGAAGGAGTTACATAAGTGTACATGCACTTCATCCACTTTAATAGGATAGTAGCTATCTTAATAGGAGGGTGCTATGGGTTGAATTCTGTACCCCAACAAGATATGTTGAAATCTTAACCCCCAGTAGCTGTGAGTGTGCCCTTATTTGCAAATAGTTTTTGCAGATGTAATTAGTTAACATGAGATCATATTGAAGGAGGGTGGACCCTAATGTAATATGATTGGTGCTTGTTATATAAATGAGCTTCTCTCTAAATTGGCACCAAATTATTCATTTCTTCATAGCAAGCTGAGGACTATTAGACCAAATATATCTGTTGGCACTAAACTCAAATTTGTTCATATCTAATTGTTTTTAAAATAGTTCCACTGCTAGATAGGTAGAGACAAGTATTGATTTGGGTAAAGAGAAGGACAATGTACCAAATATGAGTGAGCAATACGGTGGCACTGAGAAAGAGGAAGACTTAAGAGAGGTGCATGGAAGGTACAGACAACAAAGATGAACCTTTTTGCATATACAGTACTGTGCTGTCAATGATGGAAAACAGTGATACATACAGGCAGATAGATGGGTGGACAGGTTGAACAATTAGGCATGTCTATGCAGGGGGGAGTATGCCCATGGCCATGTACAGGGTTGACAGACAATGTTTCTACAAGTGTATTTGTATGTTCTCTAAGAAATTCCAGGTATGTAATAAAGCTGACAAAGGGCAAGATTGTGGGCACTTCTTGGCCACAGCCAGCTACCTGGAGGGAGTGAGTAACTGGACTTGTGGGCTCGGGACCGTGGTCACAGGGGACATCAAGCTTAATTGGCATAATCCACTACACAAACATTGTTCCACATCCTACTTTGGCTAGTAGTGACTGGGATCTTAAAAGCTTGCAAGCGGCCATCCAGATGCAAAGATGGGTCTCTCCTCATCCAGAGTAAAGAAGAGTGAAGAAAACAAAAGACGCATGGAAACAACCGATCCTCAGCCTATACAACTATGAGACCAGAAAAACTACCACTGTCAACCACTTGGAGGCGGATCTATGTAGGACATCCTGGATAGAGTGGGAGAACAGTGTGGAACAAAACCCAAAACCATTAAAAAAAAAAAGGACCAGGTTTGTTGGTCAGATAGAGCCTGGTGAAATTCCTGAAACTATAGCCCCTAGCTGCCCTTCAGGTCTGGAATTGAACCCACTCCCATGGCTCCCAGCCAAACAAAAGACAGGCATATGAGCTGACCATTTACATTAGGTAGATACACTCCTTGGAGAGATCAATCATGGGAGAATAGAAGGGCTGTGCAGGCACCGGGAGACAGCTGGGGGAGGGCAGGAATGCATGGAAGGGAAGGACACAGGGAAGAAGGGGCTATGAGGAGGAAGTGGGAGGAAAGCTATTGCATTGCGAGAGATTACAGTTAATGTCATGAGACAAAGTATATGTGAACTGCTGTATGGAAGATGAATTTGCTCTGTAAACTTTCACCCAAATCACAGTTTTAAAAAAAAGTTCCAATACACAGATTTTTAGCGACTTAAGAGACTGTCTGCTTTAAACACCTCGTGAAACTGCCAATGTAGAGAGAAGCTCATCTATATAACAGGCACCAGTCATATTACATTAGGGTCCACCCTCCTTCAATATGATCTCATGTTAACTAATTACATCTGCAAAGACTAGATCGAACATCTGCTAGACCTAGATGAGATAAAACCCTGTATTTATAAGAACCCAACAGAACATGGCTAAAGGACACACATACAAAAATAAATTACAAATGTCTTTTAAATATAGAAAAAAAATGCATTCTCAATCGTACTCATTATGAAAATGAAAATTAGCCAAGTGTTATTTTTCAGACTGTCAATAATGAAAAATTTAATAATAAATATTAACAAGCATATGGAACAAGACATGCACTACTAGTGAATCAACCTCTTTGTAAGATAATAAACAATATCTATCAAAATTTTAAATGTGTATATATTTTG